GATTAACTTCAAACTTCACAACAAGGTTAATTACCATGAAACCTCGGACAAGTTCGATAACCGCCATTATCCGACCGTAATTATTGGAGTTATTCCCCTTGGTTTCATTAATGCGATGCATGTGTTCCATGATGTTGAATTGCACTCATTGATCTACCAGTTATGTTGAATGATTTCTCTTTCAATATCAATTACTCACAAATACTTCATATATTTCAATCATACAAACAACTGCTCATTCAATGTGTGACAGGCGTATTATATACCGCTTGCGGTAACCTTGTTAATACTGGAAGCCATAGATATTGTATCTGAAATAGTTTTCAAAAGAACAAGTTTTTTTTATGGTATACATTGTATATGGTGTGTTGTCGGTCGTCCTTCAACTTTTTCTTTGAACAACTTCTTCTTAAGAACTTGAGGATCTAGGGCCATGATATTTGGCCAGTAGCTATAGGTACCTGGGACAGAGTGCTATAAAGTTTTCTCAAATAAATGACCTTGACCTACTTTCAAGGTCACAGGTTAAATATGTAAAAACCTTTTGAACAAATTTTGCCGAATAACCAGGTGGCCAAGGGTAATAATACTTGGCGTAAAGTGCTATAAATTTAAAGTTCCCTTAAAAAAATCTCCTTGATCTATATTCAGGGTCACAGGGTTCAAAATTGTAAAAACCTTTAAACGACTTCTTTTGAATAACTAAGAGGCATAGAGCAATGATATTAGGCTAGTAGGTACCTGGGACAGAGTGCTATAATTTTCCCCTAATTAAATGATCTTGACTTACTTTCAAGGTCATAGGGATCAAATACGTGAAAACCTTTACACACCGTTAACTTCTTCAGAATAATCAGGAGGCCCAGAGTTATGATACCTAGCTTGTAGGTATTTAGGACAGAGTGCAATATAGTTTTCCAAAACAAATTTACCTTGATCCTACCGTCATGATCACGTGGGTCGACTATGTTAATACTTCCTCCGCAATACCAGGAGGTCCTGGGTAATGATATTTGACCAGTAGCATGCTCGGATAGAGTAGTATAAAGTCTCATTTAGTCTGGAACATTCTTAAACTAAGGACACTTTATGCATGCATTCATGTGTATGTGTATATGTGGAACCGGTGTGTGCTGGAGACAGAGTATGTTGGTGTAATTGCATGCCTCCATGTGATAGCGGCGCAGATCTGACACAAACTTTATAATGCTATCTCATTGAAATACCATGCAGAAGGCACCCAGCACAGCATTCCGCCCGGTCACATTATACTGATAACTGCATGGTGATTGTGAACCAGTTGTTACCTTTCCGCTAAATACTGATCTTTAAGCAGGGAATAACAACTACCATTTTTAAGGACTTTGGTATATGTCCTGGCCTGGGGACAGAACCCATTGCCTTCCTCTCCCAGGCGAACGCTCAACATTAAAGCCAAAAGTGAGGTCTTGCCAAGTAAGGCGCAAGGAAATCAGAGGTACTTATGGATGTAGAGAGAAGTAAATATCCCAAATATTGCAATGGGTGCAGCAGATTTATTTTGATTGTTTTTGTGTGCACAATATAGAGGGCACAAAAACAAATCCACAATTCTTCCGGTGGTTCCCCTCATTAGTCACCTCTTACAATCCATTTAGTGGGTAACAGCAGGTGTATTCTTTTCTCTATCCCCCTCCTGCAGGGGTGTGATTTGAATGATATACTTGGCATGCAAAACATTTATATCAAGTGTATGGGATTAAATATGTGTATAATTTGGAGTAACCTCCCCTATTTATGGAGGTATGCTGCTTTGTTTACAAAATTTGTCCACACTTTATTCATTCAAAAGTGCTTCAGCAGTTTGAATGATGTCAAAATACAGAACTTTTACACAAAAGGGATGTGAATAATATATAATATGTATATATTCGAGTTTCCTCCCCTGTTAATGGAGTTGTGCCCATTTTGTTTAAGCTTGTTCACACTTCTTCCTAAGTATATTTTCCTCAAACATGGTCGCTAAAATGTGTTAAATGTAATTGTGGGGTCAGTATTGGGTTGTCGCTGGTCGCGTTCGACGGATGTATTAATACAGTTCAATTACATAGTAAAACCGGTCGGGAAGAATGAAAAGTGGTCGCATATGAAACAGATGGTCGCTTGAGCAGATTTGACTGTACTACATTGATTTTAATGATACTTACTAAACATGGTACACATAAAACTTTAAGCTGCAAATAAATAATTTACAGTTACCTCACCTGTATACAGAGTTATACATAATGTACCTCTTTGTTACAAACATTCTCATGATCAATACCTGGGTAATAATATTCCTACAGTTCTTGGGCCAGGTGGGGATATAATAGTCTGCCATTCGTTATAGGTGTCAGTCAGCCTAGTGAAATGATCTTTCCTGTATTCATCTATTTATAAATAAAATCTTTTTGTTGTTTAAATATTGGTTTTCAAAGGTAAAAAAAAATATGCTTAAATGTGAAGTATACCAACAAAGCCTTGATCGGACGTGAAAAGGTTGGGATCTCCTGCCCGACCACATGGGTTTTCTTCGGGTACTCTAGCTGGTTTCCTCCCACACTAAAACCCCCCACGCGCTAGCATCCGGGCCAACAAGAGTGATTTATATAATTTGAAATAACTTGTTTCATAATTGTTGTTAAATAAAGATTATATAAAGCCCCATAATTTGTCTTATATCTCCAATCATCTATAGTCCTGCTATTTCTGTATCACATCATCTATAAGTGCATGTGGAAGCTTAAGACATATATGTAAATTTGTTGTTTCTGATGTACAAACAAAACGAAAAGTACAGACTTTGTGCTGTGTTATCGAGGCATATCATACACTGTCCTCTGCAAGCTTTATAAAAGGTTTGTAAAGTGCTTGGCATGTTGAACTGGATTATGCCAGCTTAACCTATGTCACGATTGTACAAATAAATGACTTTCACCGTCACAGCATGCAGTCAAACTTGTTCCAGACTTCTCAATGATTTCGGCCTTAGCATAATTTGTTTTCAATTTGTTAACACTAGTAGTTACAGGTAAGCAATACTGTAAGGCCCTGATGATCTGTTGCTCAGGGTTGGATGCAATGATAAATTTACATATTATGCAGTGTGTATTTATTATACACATATTTTCCTAGCTGGGACTCCGGTATACACCTGTGGTGCATTGGAGATACCTGTATTATAGTTTATTTAACTGCAGTGTATAACACTATGATAATATGTATTGATTAATCTTGCATTGATTTACATTATTTCAGGATATGTCCTGTTCATATAGTGGGACTTGATCAGAATTTGAATGACTTGAAATGACCATTCGCCAGGATCTGCTTCCTCGAGCTCTGTCACCCACCCTCTGCTGAACATCATGGTAAATATATATACACCATTCTACTAAATAACACTACAGATATATAGAAATGTAGACACTCTATGCAGTGGCGGATCCAGAGGTTTTCTTGGGCTTCGAGAACAACCCCCCCCCTCCCCCCAGCCTGAGAAATTTCTTCAAAAATCATGTACATTTTATGTACCTTAATGTCACTGATGAAATTCATTATCTAACTTATTGATTACTAGACAGATAATTGAGAGCTATCAACCCTGAGAAAAAGAACTATTAATCAATACTCTGTAACAGATGTGTGTTGACTATAAAAAATTTAATGTGACTGCGCTACAATAAATTCAGAGCATCAGTTGACTGTTCAATGTTGTCAGCACCCACCTGAATAGACAGATACAATATTGTGTTTGTAACTACCCAGTCTTGGAGATACGTACAGTACATGGAGGTATAGGACTACATCCCTTTCTGTATCTGGATATCTTATATATCTGGGTTAAAGGTATATATATATATATGGTTAAGATGTATATTTATGTTTTTGATCTAAATTTCTAATTGGATGATTGATTATAAGGCCATGCAACCTTGAAACATTCTCTGTTTGAAATTGAACGACCCTTCATGTTTGTATATATATATATAGGTCGGGACTCGGGAGGGAAAATATTTTACTCTATACATTAAATGGTGTTGATTTTTTTGAAAATTCCCCATAGTCGAGTATAATTTTCTATTAAAGGAATAGCATCAAGTTGTAGGACATGTATAATTATTTATGAATTAATAAAATTATTTTTATTTATTATAAATTCATGTATAAAATTACATATAATATATTATAAAAAGTTATTGATAAGGATCAGATTAAGACATAAATGAAGAGGAAAGAAATCAGAGGGTGAGGGTGAGGGGGGGGGGGACGGATGGACCCATTAAAAAATATCATTTGGAGGTAAATGTACTGGTCAGTTGGTCAATGCCAAACAAACAATACTTTATTTTTGACCTAAATCTAGTCCCTTTGTGTGTTTCATAATATATATATATATATATATATATGACTTTCTTTCCAACTTGTGCGATACAATTATTTGCTAGTTTAATAACTTTGTATAGGATTACAGAACAACACAAAGTTCTATACCCGTATAACGATATACACATCGCAACATAAAGTTTATTAAGTCATTCTTTTAAAACTTACTAATATGTGCTGTATATTTGCAGGGCATGATGACGTGGCGCGAGATGTGGGCCATTGTCACGGGTGACAATCCAGACTTCCTACACTTCCACCCGGTACTGGCCGCCATCTCCATCTATCTACTCATCATGATGCTGTGTTACACACTGTACCAACTGTCTAGACTCCTGCCATCCACGTTACGCAGCTATGCATTCGACTTCTTCACCACGTTGGCCGTCTGTTCGTATCCTTTCGGTCATGCTGTCATGCGACAAGCGTATGGCGGTGCTGGTTACATGTTCGGCATGGTGCCTTTAGTTGTCATAAACATACAACTTTTTTCGAGAGGGAATGGATCACCGTTGGGTTACTGGATGGATTTTTTACAAGGAACTACTTCTTTATGGACTATGCTTACACATATACCAGTGCAGATTCTGGCAGGGATTGCAGCATTCAGTCTTGGAAGATACATATACATGCTGGAATTCCATGATTCTTTTGCTCCGGCTCTTTTCGACGAGAGATGCTACACCGATCTAAAGACGACCCTAGCTACAGGGTTTCTGGTGGAGACACTTGGAGTGACATGGGACAGCTGGCTGGGAGAGCAAACGTTGTCCAAAGTCAAATTCATTGATATGTTGCTCAAAGTCATTAACTGTAGCATCTTAGTAAATTTAGGTGAGTATTAATCAATCATCAAAAATATTTTGATGTCAAACATCTGTTAAAACCATTACTGTATTAAAATGTATTTCTACATTCATTTTGTAACATACATCATCAGCTGCATATTTCTATTTTTACAGTTTTGAGCTCACCTGGCCCAACGACTTTCAAAGTCACTGGGGTTTAATGTGTTTAAATCTTTCAAAAGACAGTTCTGAATGATTTATAGCTATGACTATTGATATTTTGCAGGTAGCTTTATTTTAGTCCACTTTAAAGATAAAAAGTTTGAGATTATTACCAGGTGAGCGATTGAGGCCCAATGGACCTCTTGTTTATAGCTATAGAGTGTAACCATGAATATTTGTAAACGAATGAATGTTTAGTTTAATTGACTGAAGTTCAAACATAATGATCAGCTACAGATATTGGCAATTGAATGATATGATCAGTAGCTACACATGATATATGTAATATATGTACGTTTTAAAGTGTTTCATGCAATTAGGGTATATTTTGCCCTTGGCTGTCTGCCTGATTATCAGCTTTAATTTTAACAAAAATCACATTTAACTTGTTCTAGTTATTGGTTTTAGGGGTAGGTTTTACAGGGATGTATATGCACCCAGCCATGGCGTCTGGTCTGTCTTTCGGGTGTGATGGTACAGAGAGATGGGAACACCTCATGGTGTACTGGGCAGGGCCTTTCCTTGGCTGTTTCCTCGCCTTACAGCTCAACAAAATTGTCCGAATTCCTGACTTGTCTGGCTTTAAAGGTCAACCAGCAAGATTGTCAAGTCCCTTGGAGAATGGATCAGGTAAACAGAATGGAATACATAAGCAGAATGGATTAGGTAAACACAACGTCTATAATGGGAGGATGGCCAAAGCAACAGCAGAGAATTCCAAGAAACAGGTCCGAAGAGGGAAGAAACGATGGTATTAAATCAAAATGTTTTCGTATTTCGAAAAAAGAAGTTGCAAAATTGTCCTTGGATAGTAAGGTTTCAATTGACGTGTAATTGTAACTGTTAAATGTACCTTGGTACTCCCTACACCCCCCACCCCCCCTGTTTATATGTCCAGGGAGGTTAGTCATTCAGGAGTCTACATCAAGGGTTACATTTTCTTTTAGCAGTTGAAGTTCTGGCAGATTAAAAGGACTTCTCGGCTTGTCAGCCGCTAATTGGCCTTTTCCCCCCACGATTCATTATTAATTCATTCCAATTGAATGATTTTTCTGAGACATGTATGATATGAATGTTTAGATAATCCAGAAGAAGTAAACAGGAGACTATAATACTATAGTTAGCATTAAATCATACTTTTTTTTTATATATATTTTAAGAATTTTACAGTGCTTTAATAATTTAAACAGCTTCATTATAATGGTGATTTTTATGTAAACCAGTGTATTTTACCCAAGTTTTAATGAGTAAATCTTAACCAATGTGATATGTGAGCACATTTATATGCATTAGGGGATTTGGATGGAGTGGCATTGATCGATATTAAAAGCATCATACAATTGTGTAAATAATGAAAAGTTTGATATACATGTGTATGCATATTAAATACCTTGATAAATGTATTGTATCCCTTGGGTATAACTTCAGTATAACGCCACTTATTTTATATGCCAACTCACTTAAACTGAGATGAAAGTAGGCTTTTGGACAAAAAATCTGAAAGTTAGAATTTTAATCCTTTCTATTTCTATTGGAAAAATTAAAGGTTGAAATCAGCGAAATGGCTGAAAATTTCATCTCTGCTTACACACACATAAATAATGGTCTCTATTTCCACTTTCCATAAAAAATATCCTTTATTTATCTACCTCGATATTTTGCCAAACCCTTTTATAATGCCAAAATATCACTAAAACTGTCAGATTGAGGCACTTTAACAATATTGTTCTGCATAAGCAAAGTGATCTAGGTTTTTCTAATTGCATAATGTTTGTACGGTGCTCAGTCAGATACAAACATTAGAAAAACTTAAATATCCTTTTTTTATATTATTTATATTTTAAAAGTGACCTTTGTTAACGGTTGGATTGGTCTGTTATAACTTTGTAATGATTAAGCATGGACCATGTGCTCTTTTTTATGATCATACAAAATATGTTGTATTTTACTGTAAAACTGTGCAATCAATTTAGGGCTTTTGTAATTTTGTCTTTGTGTGATTTCTGTAGCTATTTTGTTGTTGCGTTGTTGTTAAATATATTTTTTTCTCAAACATTATCTATATACATGTATATTGGTGTATTTCATTTGAATTCACAGTGAATTTCAAATTTTTCAAATACATTTAAAAGTTGACTTGTATTGGAATTGCATTGGTAATCATGAAAAATGTAATTTCTCGGTAAAAATATTTTTTTAAAGAAATGTGTGTTTTTTGGTAAGACTAGCGTACAGCTATGTTGCTTTATGTTATGTTTTTGTATATGTTCTGTTCTCTGTACCCCAAATGTTTTATGAAGCAGAGACATTTTTAAAGATGTGATTTAATTTCGCGAAGATAACTATATAAACAAGTGACACTAACAAACAAGTTGTTCCTGGAATGGCGTCTTCGTTAGTCAAGGGTTACGATCCGGGAAGAGTAGAAAGACTGGATCGTACCAGATAGTAATCCTTGGCTTGCGAAGATGAAGTTCAAGTAACAACTTGTAAATGTCAGAACACATGTTTATGTAGGAATTTATGCTACATTAAAGCACATCTTTTAGAATAACTTGACTCGATAAAACATTTACATGCAAAGATATTGTATGTACAGATAGTTAATCTCTGATGTACATGTAGATATGCACTTTTTGTAGATATGTGATGTTTTATTCAGATAATTATGCCTGAATGTGTCTATTCTATAATTTAGGCGAATATTTAAGAACTAATGTTCTATTTTGAAGTTTGAGAAGTCACCTAAAAATTCAAGTTGAGCAATGAAATTAAATGAATTCAAAATATCCATATATGAAAAGAATATCACTCCTTAATTTCACTTACATGTAATAGAAAGTGATACGTTAACTATCAATGGTTCATACACTTATATCCATTAATCGGACCAGTGGATCCATCTTTTGATATGGGTCAATCTAATGAAGGAACGGCCTAGAATTTGCATAAAAGTAGGTTCATTCCAACAAATCTTGATAAGTCAATAATAAAATTACGTAACTTCTAAATAAATCTATTTCCCAACGTCATGGAAACCCCTGTCTCATGAATGGTTAGGTTTATCCTCAATATCCAGGGGTTACGATCACTTTTGCTCACTACACCCCTGGAATATGTCATAGCAAAATTGAAGGCTCAGTGTGCGCCACCTTGTTGATGAGACAAGAAGGCTAGTTCGATCCTTTGATATACATCAACAGAATCTCGCGGTCGCGTAGCGGTAAAAATTGACAGGCTTTGAAGTCGGGCGTCTCAATCTCCTTTGTAATCTTCAAAGGACAGGTATCAGCCTAGCGATCGGTCAGTTTTTTTTACCTGAGACCAATCAAACGGCTAACTTTCCCTTCAATTTTGCTATGACATATTCCAGGGGTGCAGAGAGGGAAAGTGAAAGTAACCCCTGGAGTATCGAGGATGGGTTAGGTTAGGAGATAACCACTACAGACGAGAGACAGTGGTTTTTGGGTGTAAGTCAGTGTAGATTGTAAATGTATCTTATTCTTGGTCATTTCGATTACCACATGTGTTAATTGCCACTGTTTTGTTTGTGAATGTTTTCACATTTTATAAAAAATTCTATGAAATGATTTTCATTATTCAAACAGATTACCTCCCTTGTTGGATTAGTAAACAGGTTAATGAAGAATTGCACTTGAAATTTGGAAAACATTTCTGTTTTGAAATGAATATCACATTCTGGATTCATTTAAAAAGCAAGGGATGATTTGATAGTTATGCACTAAAGAATAAGAAGAAAACCCTGAAAGGACAGGTTGTTTAAAACAAAAAATCAGACTTTTGGCAGTTTTTCATACTGGTGAGTTCCAAGTTTTGTAGACCAAGAGTAAGATTGACTTTAACATAAAATTGACAATCATAAACAAGAGTTGCTTCCCTTTGTATATACCAGGGTATGACTTGCATTGTATTTGTGTCAGTGATTGTTGCACATAGGAACTCCATTGTGTTTTGTTTACGTAGAGTATATACTCAGTAAAATGAAAAGCATGTTTATTTTCTCGTTGCATCGGATGTCAGTTGTGTTAACCAGCTGTCTGAAAATAATAAGGCACATAAGCTTGTAATGTATAGTGTACATGTACTTATATAGTAAGTGTCAGGTTATCTGGGTCAGGTTAACAAAGAAGGAACAGGATGGTAGGGTTTGACTATATGTCAAAGCTCAAATAAATCCGACATTTACCATACTAGTATCTATTCGAAGTACTTCTAAATCTTCTAAATGGTACTGACCAGCTTCAACAATTTGAAGGTAAGTATGGTTGCCTGCTTTTGAAGAACATCTTGTCTTGTTATTTTCAAATTGCTCAATTGCACCAGTAAGAAAGAAAAAAGTTACAAAAAACTATGCAATAGTTTGTGGTGGCCTTACAACATGTTTGTGTTGATGAGTTTTTGAGTAAATTAAGATTAAAAAAACTGAGTAAGATATCCTGAATGAGATATTAAAAAAGGTGTTCAGATATCCTACCAGTAATTAAGATTTTTGAAAAAGATCTGTTCAGATATCCCAATTAAGATTTAAAATGCTGTGTTCAGATATCCTAATTAATATTAAAACAGCTGTGTTCAGATATCCTAATTAAGATTAAACTTCTGTGTTCAGATATCCTAATTAAGATTAAAAATGCTGTGTTCAGATATCCTACCAGTAATTAAGATTTTTGAAAAAGATTGTCAGTTATCCTAATTAAGATTAAAACAGCTGTGTTCAGATATCCTAATTAAGATTAAAACAGCTGTGTTCAGATATCCTAATTAAGATTAATACAGCTGTGTTCAGATATCCTAATTAAGATTAAAACAGCTGTGTTCAGATATCCTAATTAAGTTTAAACCGCTGTGTTCAGATATCCTAATTAAGATTAAAACAGCTGTGTTCAGATATCCTAATTAAGATTTAAAAGGCTGTGTTCAGATATCCTAATTAAGATTTAAAAAAGCTATATTCAGATATCTTTTTTAAGATTAAAACAACTAGTCAAGGAAAAGTACATGTACGATTATTCCGTAGTTATTTATTGGCATTATTCTGTTTTTTAACCATATGATGATCGTTTGAATTCCAAAAAGTGCCTTTACATAATTATATTTCCATTTGGCCAGTTTTAGTATTTTGATGGGTTTTTTGTCAGTCTTGGGTTATATCCTTTTTCCTATATCCCTATTTTATTTTTCAGTTTCAATTATTTACCATTTTAACCATTGTTTTATAATTCCACAGACTTTTCTTGAAGACATAAATTAACCTGTATTCGTGGTTTAAAGGAATAATTTTACAGAGGACCAAAATCAAACATTCTTACTCAATGATTTGAATGATCTGTGTTTTCACTAAAACATGTTTATAAGAAATGATACCTCAGTGAAGTTGCCATCTTGAACTGTTCTTGGAGAATGATGGGAAAATTTGAACATGATAAAACGCACGAAAAGTCTAGAACTATAGGACCTGTCTATACCTGTCAGTATCTAGGACAGCATGTTAATGATTTTCTACATACAATGCCAAATGTAATGTGTTATTCTGTTAATAAAGCTATGATTCGTTATTTTATTTCTCCTTCAGGATAAATCCCAAACTATTTGTTTTCCAATTATTCCTGTGAATAAAATCTTTTTATCCTCAACATACACAGTTCTTTTATGTGTAGGAACAGAATCAGTCATGGCCAGTAGTGACACAATATATCTGTGGCCTCATAAACCTTTATTGCTCATAAAGGGACAAGTGTAATACCATTAAGCATTTTAGCTCACCTGACCGAAAGGGCCAAGAGAGTTTATGCCATGGCGCAGAGTCCGTCATCCGTCAACCTTGTCCTTTAAAATGCTAATAGTCCTTATTGGCTTAGTGAATTTTACCCAAATTTGGTCCAGAGTATCATTGGCTAAAGGGTTTTCAATTTTGTATTAACAGAGGGTATGGCTCCCACAGGGGGCAGAGGGAAGGGGCCAAATTGGGAGGAAAATTGTAAATTTTTCAAAAATCTTCTTCACAACCAATAGAGGGATTTTGACCAAATTTGTTCAAGAGCATCTTTTGACAAAAGGGCCCCAATTTTGCATAAACGGAAGGTGTGGCCCCCTTGGGGCAGATGGTGGGGCCCAATAGGGAAAATAGGGATAAACCTTTCTCCTTTTGTACAATTTATGAAGCAATTTAAACCAAATGTGGTCTGGATCATTTATAGGGAAGAGGACTCAATTTTGTATAAAGTGAGGCTATGGCCCCCTTTGGGGCTGAGGGTTGGGGCCCAATAGGGGAAATAGAGGTAAATATTTGAAAAGCTTTGTCATTCTTTGTGAATAGAGGGATTATCACCAAGTATAGTGCATATATATACTCCTTTGTTATAGATCATCTGTTGCAAAGGGGACTCAATTTTGTATAAGCGGAGGGTGTGGCCCCCCTGCAGTAAAGAGGTGGGGCATTACGTTGTAAATTAAGGAAACTATTTTTAGCCCACCATCATCTGATGGTGGGCTATTCAAATCAACCTGCGTCTGTGGTCCGTGGTCGGTCCTTAAACAATTCTTGTTATCTGTATTTCTCAAGAAGTACCAGAGGGATCTTTCTCACATTCTATATGAAGGTTCCCCTTGGTCTGTGCAGGGCAACTTTTGAGACTGATCGGATAAACAACATGGCTGACAGGCAGCCATCTTGGATTTTGATAGTGAAAGTTTGTTATCGCTATTTCTCAAAAAGTACCGAAGGGATCTTTCGCAAATGTTATATGTAGGTTCACCTTGGTCCCCAGCTGTGCAGGGCAACTTTTCAGGCTGATCGGATAAACGACATGGCCGACAGGCAGCCGTCTTGGATTTTGATAGTGAAAACTTGTTATCACTATTTCTCGGGACGTACCTGAGGGTTCTTTCTCAAATTTTATATGTAGGTTCCCCTTGGTCCCCAGCTGTGCAGGGCAACTTTTGAGACTGATCGGATAAACAACATGGCTGACAGGCAGCCATCTTGGATTTTGATAGTGAAATTTGTTATAGATATTTCTTGGGAAGTACAGGAGGGATCTTTCTCAAATTTTATATGTAGGTTCCCCTTATTCCCTTGTTGTGCACCAGTGCCTGAAATGGATGGTCGCTTGCTCGCCAATGGCAGTTAAAGTCTTGCTCGAGTTACTAAAAGTTGTCAAAAGTGAAGTAGTCACTGGCCCAACAAAAATAGTTTGAACTGCTGTTGAAAAATTAATGAATAAAAGAAATTATAGTCCCTTTCACATTAACTGGGGGGCAGTACATTTTTCAGTTGTCATTACTTCGATTTGAATCGAACTGTCCGTGATTTAGAAAATGTGATGATTTTTTTTTCTGATTTTCTATATAAATACTGCCACGGTGTCTACTTTGAGGTGCAAGTTTTGTGTTTTTCTTTTTGGGAAGACCTGAATGGAGTGGATCATGTCAGGTTGTAACTAGGGTTGAAGAATTAAAAGTATAATATTTTATTCTGTTTTACATATTACAAACATTGTCATGTTATATGTAATTTAAAGGTGCTGAAGCATTGTGTTAAATGCTGTGGAAATATTTCTTACCAAAATCATTTGGTCCACCAATATGTCATTTGGGCCAGTGCTTCAAATTTTTTACTCACCCCAAAAAATAAAAAAATTCGGCGAGCCAATGCAGCTTCCCCACAATCCTTTATTGTTCATGTTTACTTTTGAAACTGATCACTTTAACAAAATGGCCTACCGACAGCCATCTTCGATTTTTGACATTGAAGGTTTGTTAGTACTATATCTCAGGAATAACATGAGGCATATTACTCAAATTTGATATGTAGGTTCCCCTTGATCCATCGTTGTGCATGTTATATTTTGAGACTGATCATGAAAACAAAATGGCTAATATTGCAATGATCAATTATGTTTCTTTCACAATAAGTACTGTACTAGTAAATATGTGAAATGACAAACTCACCTGGAAGGTTGGCATTCATACACATCAGTATTAAGTTTAGATCAAAAGTTACCTCACGGTGCATTTACTGTTAACATGACTCGATCAAACAGATTAAAGGAAAGAAGAGAAAAGATCGAACTGACAAAGAACTAATGAAGATGGCACAATGGTGGGCGCCAAGATCCCTCTGGGATCTCTTGTTTTAAATCTTTCTCCAATACAAATTGAGGGATTTTAACCTGATCCTATATAACCAATGAATGAAGGTAGACATATGGTATTATAACTGGTTCTTGTTCTTCTTCCTCTTTTTCTGGTTCTTGTTCTTCTGGTTCTTCTAATCACAACTTGTCCGGGCCATAACTTTTAAACCATTAAAGATATCTTGATGAAACTTGAGGTATGCATGCATCACCCACAGAAGGTGTGCAGTGCACTGGAATTAGGTCACTGTGACCTTTACCTCAAGGTCAAATGTCATATAAGTGCAACATTTTCAGTAAATTCTTGTCTGGCCCGTACATTTTAAACCGTTTAAGATATCTTGATCAAACTTGAAGCATACCTGCATCACCTATAGAAGGTGTGCAGTGCACTGGAATTAGGTGTCATGCTTCACTATATACAGAGGTATGGCCCTTTGAAAATCAATAATGTTGCATGGCGTATCAATTTAGAACGTTACATTTTCGTCGTTATTTACAAACTAAAACTGTGATTGTAACCATAAGTGGCAGTAAATAAAGTTCATATAATGTTTTATTGGTATACTAGCATCTTTGCAAATTTCTTGTGACTTTTTCCTTCAACTGTTCTGATTTGGGTATTGTCCCGATTTGGGTACTGTGACATTAGTATTAGTAATTCCAGACCGACCGAACACAGTTCTAATCAGCCTGACTGTTGTTACCCCTGATATTGAGAATACAAGCGAGGCCGATATTCGTCTTACTAAAGTGAAGGTTGATATCGATATCCTGGCTATCAAAAACATGGGAAAAAGCTCACGAGTTCAAATTCCATATAAGATAAATTTGGTTAGCATATCGTTAATAAACATCTATTACGTAACAAGCGATTGTAATGAAATACAACTAAGTCGACAGAGGCGGGTTGTATTTCGGAATGGATGTTTTTTGTGTAAAAATAATTCACCAAATAGAGGTAATCCGAATAACAATTGTAGATTGATTTGTTACCAGCATTATTGTAATAGGTTTTAAGGCATACATATGCGCGTATAGTATCCACCTGAGTTTTACATTCACTAATCGCCTGCAAATGTAACGTTGATATGAAGGCAAAGCCTCGAAAGTAAAAACAAGAGGCACATGGGCCTTAACGGTCACCTGAGTTATGTAAAAACTCATGTAATCGATGTTGCCAAATGAAAAAGAAATCATTTTGTAACAAAGGTAACTTGAACTACATGTAATGCAAAAGTAGTATGAAAGATCTGTGTAGTATACATTTTGTATGTACTATGTACAAATAGTGGTTCAGCTATGGTTTTATAGCCCTTCATTATGGTAAAGCACCTTAAGACCCTTCCATTGGACCTTGAGAAGAAGATTTTTGAAATTTTATTCAATTTGACCCTTTTTGGCCCCGCCCCTCTATAGTAAACTATAGTAATATTTACCCCCTCCCCAGGGTCATGAAATTCACAATGTTGGTAAAGCACCTTAAGACCCTTTCATCTATGAAGAGTATTTAATTCTACCATACATGTATCTTGCTCTTGAGAAGAAGATTTTTGAGTTTTAAGGCAATTCAACCCTTTCTGGCCCCACCCATCAGCCCCTTGGGGTCAGTCAGGGCTGATATGTGCATACCATCAAACTTCTATCCAATGCTGCTAATGCTAACCAAGTTTGAATTGACTCTGATGGAATTTAAACAAATGTTGGTCCAAAATGTGATTTCCCTATATAAACTATAGTAAAATTTATCCCCTCCCCAGGGGGAACTGTGATACCCCAGAGTCATGAAATTCACAATCTTGCTAAAGCACCTTTAGACCCTTCGATCTATGAAGATTATTTGATTCTACCATATCTAGGTCTTGAGAAGAAGGTTTTTGAAATTTCAGTCAATAAACCCTTTCTGGCCCCACCCATCAGTCCCTGGTGGTCAGTCAGGGCTGATTTGTGCATATCATGAAACTGCTATCCGATACTGATAATACTAACCAAGTTTGATCTAATTCCATTGGAAATTAAACAAATGTTGGTCCAAAATATGATTTCCTATATAAACTATAGTAAAGTTTACCCCCTCCGCAGGGGAATTCACTATTTTGGTAAAGCACCTTAAGGCCCTTCAATCTATAAAGAGTATTTGATTCTACCATATCTGGATATCAAGAGTTTTGATTTTTTTTTAATTCAATTTGACCCCTGGGGACCATGTAATTCACAATTGTGGTTGACCTTTGGCCATGGAAAGTTTCTGCAAAATTTCATTGAAATTGGTTCAGGGGTTTTGGAGAAGAAGTCAAAAATGTAAATTGTTTACAGACGGACGACACACGACGCCGGACAAAAGGCGATCGCAATTGGTCACTTGAGACGACTTTGTCTCAGGTGATGTAAAAAGCCACATAGCTTTTGCTAATCTGTGA